AGCCTGTTGTCTTATGGTTTTTCCACTATTCCCCCTTCCAGGGACACCAGTCCCCTCATGTTCCATCCTAGGGAGCTAGGCATTGGCCACAGTTGGGTCCGTGTGCTGGGATAAGTGGCTGAGCTGTGTGTTCAGGGAGAACTGACGGTGTGATTGACATTTCAGTCCACTCCCTTCGGGTAGTCCTCAAATGTGCAGTCACTGTAGTCTCAGGCGTTGGGTTGTATCTGGAAAGATTTGTCACCTGCTGCGTGAACACAGAACAGCAGCGTCCAAGTATAGCAAAGGGCTCCTTGAAAGTAAGCTTTATTGTTCATCTCATGTTAGTCGAGCCAATGAGAATGCCTCATATTTCCTCTGAAGCCTGAGGAAGGGGGCTTTTCTCTGCCAATTTTCTTCTCCAGCTGTGTTCTGCCTGTCCTCCTTGCCACCTCGCCTTCCACTGGACCTGAGTGTCAGACACCAGCAGACACTGCCCCTGTCTTCCTGCTTCTCCTGCTTTGTCAAGGAGACTTGGCTGGCTGTGTTCCACATTTGGGCTTTTGAGGCACTGTTGCCGTCTGTGGGTTGGCTGGTGCCATGGCAGAGTCATGGTCTGTGCCGTCTGTTTGTCCCTTGGCCTGCTGAGTCAGCACGGGGGTCCTTGTGCAGTGTCCCCCCAGCCCCTCAGAGTCACCTTCTCCCCTGTTGGCCTTGCCTCTCCACTTGTGTATCTGAAGAGCCTAAGAATGAAAGCTTGGTCTTGCTCACTTCACTTCCCAAGCGCCAGTGACCGGTCTGCCACCCACGCAGGTTAGACTGCAGGGTGTCTCCCTCGGTCCTGACCTCAGCCGTCCAGACAGTTGCCGTTTGCCAGGCATAAGGTTCCGGCATAGGTCGCTGCCGTGTCGGCACATGTTCAGGTTGGAGATGACGCGTCCCTCTCAGTACTGCTGGACTTTCAGCCCACACACATGCGTCTCAGGCTCTGTGGCTTCTCTTCTCCTGATGGACGAGCTCCTGCCCTGGCCATAGCCAGTTCCTGTGCTCACAGCTTTCCGTGGATATTCTTCTATGCCTTTTTTTTTTCCTTATAATTTTCTATTTCATTCTTTCTCCAAATAAAAATATGTTATTCAAGTTCCTTATATTTGAAAATTAAACAAATGTTCGTAATTTACACTATATTCGTACGTTCATTCCTTTTCTGTGTATTTAATTGTTTACATGTTTTTATGCTCCTAAGCAGTAAAGCTGTAAGTTTTCCAATTTATTGATCATCTTCACATGTGTAGGGGCATTTTTAATAATGAATCTAGGATTAAAATGATTGGATTTGAGACCACAGTCATTGAAGTTTGTGGGATCATTCTTTTTACTTTTTGGTACCGGGGATTAAACCCAGGGGCACTTTGCCACTGAACCACATTCTCAGCCCTTTCTTTTATTTTTTATTTTGGTCTAACCAAATTGCTTAGGGTCTTGCTAAGTTGCTGAGGCTAGCCTTGAACTTGTGATCCTCCTGCCTCAGTCTCCTGAGCTGCTGGGATTACAGGTGTGCACCCTACACCCAGGTGTATGATCATTTTTACTGTTTATAAAGGACCTATACCAATTTGCTCTTCAGGAAAAAATGGTGGATTCTATCAACGTATTTCTTGTCCAGTATTTCATAAGCAAATTGCTCAATTTTTGCCATTAAGTTGGCACAAAATAATGATATATAATTCTTCCATGGATAAATTTTAGTTTGCTTTTCTCTTTTTGTTTATAGGGATTCTTTGTATGTTCCTGGTCATACTTACTGTTTATCAATTGTATAAGCTACAAATATATTTTTGTAGTTATATTTCTCTTTTTGTGGCTCTCTTTAATGTGTCTTTGATTTCATATAGGTTTTATTTTTTTATTTATTTATTTATTTTTGGTTCCAGAGATTGAACCCAGAGGTGATTAACCACTGACCCACACCCCCAGCCCGTTTTTAATTTTCATTTTGAGACAGGGTCTCATTAAGTTGCTTAGGGCTTCATGGGGCTGGCTTTGAATTTGCCATACTCTTGCCTCAGCCTCCCTAGACACTGGGATTATAGGCACGTGCAGCCATGCCTGGCCAAGGTCTTCGTTTCAATAAAGTCTAACTCATGGCTTTCTGTATAGGACTAATCACTTTGTCTTATGTAAAACATGTTTTATCCTGATGTAATCATTCACTACTTAGGTTTTGCTGATCTTAGTTTGGTTCAGAACATATTATGAGATATTAGTGCTTTCACTGTCAGTTCCCATGGGGATAGATAATTTTAGTGCTCTGTTCAGGGAACAGCTCTCCTCCTCACATTGAGCTGCCATGCTTTCTTCTCCATCCACCAGACCTCCGTATGTGTAAATGGGTCTCTGAGCTTTTGTTCTTTCTTCATTGCTAGTCTCATTGTCTTTGTGCCAGTCCCTCATGGATTTGGGGAGAGTCATCAGTTTATATTAATTCTTTGTTGATGTAGACCTCAATGTCTTTATATGCAGTGTTAAAATTTTCTCCATCAAAGGGCCCAATAAAATCTTCTTTCTCTTAAGTTGTTATTGTTGGGTGTTTTGGCCACAATGGCCAGATAGCTAACTGTAACACATAGCAGTATGTGCCTGGGTGTTGGTAACCCAGGAAACTCACCAGAGCCTGCGTGCCCAGGTTTTCATTGACACTTACTGACTAAGCTCAGTTGATGGAATCACCCACCATGTGGCTCAGTCTCCTGCTTCTCTCAACTGAGGTCCAGCTTACATGTTGTGTCTTAAGCCCTCCATCAGACATGTTTTGTCTTTCTGGTGTGGACAGATCTTTCCCTAAGTCATCTCTTTAGGATAAATTGTTTAGGGGTCCAGATTGAGTTAACTGTTTGCGTAAACTGTCACTTGTAATCCTGGAAGCCCACCATGATTTGAAACAGGAATTCTAGAAATGCCTAGTGTTTGAGGTTTTATGTTGATCAAATACCAGACATGATTTTTTGCTGTGATTTCTCATCACACACTTCCTGTCTTCTACGTGGGCCATGTTCCTTTCGCTTTCCTGGTGTCCCTGGAACAACACAGGATGGCGTTGGTTAGAGGAAGCTTACCCCACACGGTTTCCCTAGCCATGTGCAGGCTGCAGTTGTAGGGCCTCTCCCCCATGTGGATCATCTGGTGCTGCAGGAGATGCCTGCTCTTGATGAAGGTCTTCCCACACTCTATGCACTCCACTGCAGACCCTCTGTGTGCTGACTGACCTCTCCCCAGGTCTCCCTTTCAAGGTGTTTGGGGTCCAAGGGCCAGGAAGAAAGATGTTCAAACCTAAGGTTCAGAGGTAACAGAGTGGACAGAGAGGCTGTGTTTTGAGTTCCATGTTTTCACTGAAGTGAGGATCTTGTCCTTCTGTGTTGTTATTAACAGGCCCTGTTGTGTGTTGAATTTTCTTTCAGGTGACAGTGGAAAACCTCAGGCCACCGAACCTACTACTTGTGAGCCAGCCTTGTCTGAGGGTGCCTCACTCCAGGGACTGTTAACACAAGGGGCCTCAGGGTGCTCCCAGGTGGTGGCAGCCAGAGGTCAGGATGGGCCATCAGCAGTGCAGGAAGGACTCTTGAGACCAGGTGTAGAGCTGCAGGAGAGGCTTCCTGGGAAAAGTATCCCTAAACCTGGTGGTTCAGGGGCAGCCAAGGACACACATTCAAGGATGGTACAGGAAGAGGAGGAAAACATCTTCAAATGCAGTGAATGTGGGAAGGTGTTTAACAAGAAACACCTTCTTGCTGGACATGAGAAAATCCACTCTGGAGTGAAGCCCTATGAGTGCACGGAGTGTGGGAAGACCTTCATCAAGAGCACACACCTCCTGCAGCACCAGATGATCCACACGGGAGAGAGGCCCTACGAGTGCACAGAGTGTGGGAAGGCCTTCAACCGCAGGTCCTACCTCACCCAGCACCAGCGCATCCACAGTGGGGAGAAGCCCTACAAGTGCAGCGAGTGTGGGAAGGCCTTCACCCACCGCTCCAATTTTGTCTTGCACAGCAGGAGACACACTGGAGAGAAGTCCTTTGTGTGCACTGAGTGTGGGCAGGTCTTCCGGCACAGGGGAGGTTTCCTCAGGCACTATGTGGTCCATGGTGGGGAGAATCCCTATGAGTGTTTTGAGTGTGGCCAGGTCTTCAAGCACAGGTCCTACCTCCTGTGGCACCAGCAGACTCACACGGGCAGGGAGCCCTACGAGTGCAGCGAGTGTGGGAAGGCCTTCCTGGAGAGCGCGGCCCTGATCCACCACTACGTCATCCACACCGGGGAGAAGCCCTTCGAGTGCCTCGAGTGTGGGAAGGCCTTCAACCACAGGTCCTACCTCAAGAGGCACCAGCGCATCCACACCGGGGAGAAGCCCTTCGTGTGCAGTGAGTGTGGGAAGGCCTTCACCCACTGCTCTACGTACATTTTACATAAAAGGGCCCACACTGGAGAAAAACCCTTTGAGTGCAAAGAATGTGGGAAAGCCTTTAGCAATCGAAAAGACCTCATTCGCCACTTCAGCATCCACACTGGGGAGAAGCCCTACGAGTGTGTGCAGTGTGGGAAGGCCTTTGCCCGCATGTCAGGCCTCACGAGGCACAAGCGGATTCACAGTGGGGAGAAGCCCTATGAATGCATCGAGTGTGGGAAATCCTTCTGCTGGAGCACAAACCTCATCCGGCATGCCATCATCCACACTGGAGAGAAGCCCTATAAGTGCAGCGAGTGCGGAAAGGCCTTCAGCCGCAGCTCATCCCTCACCCAGCACCAGAGGATGCACCGTGGGAGAAACCCTGTCAGCGCAGCAGAGGAGGGGCCCCCTTTCCCAAGTGCTCATGCCTCCGTCACCCTCCGAGAACTCCTTGTGGGAAAGGACTTTTTGAATATAACCACCAAGAGAAATCTACTGCCAGAGGAAACATCGTCCTCAGCCTGTGATCGTTCATGCCAAAGAGAAACCCCTCAGGTGTCTTCACTGTGAGGAATGTCATGTGTCACCTGAAGACTCAGTTGGAAATGGGTTGAGAGTTCACCCAGGAGAGAACTAGTGGTTTCAAGCACACAGGACGACCTTCAGCTGCGCCTTCCTCCTCGTTTACAGTGCAGTGTTATCTCAGGAACTGTTTCTAAAAGGAGGGATGTAGAAGAAGATGAAATGCAAACACAGGTGTTTTCAGAATTTTCTACTAAGCTGTGGCACTTTATCATTAATTTCTTAGATTATCTGGGGCAAGGGGTGTGTAGTTTCAGAGGTAAAAGGCCTTGACTTTGTGTGTGTGTCTTATTGGTATTGAATATCAGGAAAGTTAGTTGGGGGAGTCTGGAAATGTCATTGTATGCCTTCTGTGTTCCGTGGTGTTTCTGTACTCCTGAGGACCATGGCTCTATGAGAAATGAGGGGCTTGAGCCATGAAGTGCTGTGTATTTAAGGCAATAAGAACTCACGAGTGAGGGGGCTGGGCTGGGGCTCAGTGGTAGAGCGCTTGCCTGGCACATGTGAGGCACTGGGTTCGCAGCACCACATAAGTGCTTAAGTAAGTAAAATAAAGGAATGTGTCTATCATCTACAACTAAAAAATATTTTTAAAAAAGAATTCATATATGAAGCTGGGCTGGTGGTGCATGCCTGTCCCAGCAGCTCAGGAAGCCGAGGCAGGAGGATTGCGAGTTCAAAGTCAGCCTCAGCAAAAGCGAGGTGCTACGCAACTCAGTGAGACCCTGTCTCTAAATAAAATACAAAATAGGGCTGGAAATGTGGTTCAGTGGTCGAGTGCCCCTCAGTTTAATCCCTGGTACCCCACCACCACCAAAAAAGAAAAAAAAGAATTCACATACTAATGTACTGTGGTACCAGCTAAGACTATTTAAGGGCTGACGGTTTTTTAAAAACAACAAACCCTTTTTCACATAGTTTTTCAATTTATCTTGGAGGGTTTGGTTCTGGAGATCGATCCCAGGGCTCCCACGTGCTAGGCAAGTGCTCTGTCATGGAGCTATACCCAGATCCCTTTTTCTTTTCCTTCCTTCCTTCCTTCCTTTAAGTTTTGTATCATCAGGGTCTTGCTGAGTTACCCAGGGTGGCCTTCAACTTGTGGTCCTCCTGAATCTCAGGAGCAGGGATTATTGGCATGTGCCATTTCTCCTGATTCTTTCTGTGGTTTTAAAAACCTAACTTGTGGACATTTTCTTGGTTTCTGTGTATTGATTGTTACAGCTGTATGATAGTTCTTCAAACTGCGTAAAGTGATTTCTCTATTATTTAAAACTGATTTAGCATTTCTAGTTCCTTTAACTTTTTCCATATTCGTTTTAGGATAAGTTTGTCAATATTACCAAAAAAGTCTTGGTAGACTTTTCATAGAAATTAAATCCGATGATCAGTTTATTGAGAATCCATCCATGTGGTGTGTTGGGTCTTTCAGTTCATGAATATAATGTGTGTCTATTTAAGATTTCCACATTTACTTCATGAGTGTTTTATAACTTTTAGCATTTATAAACCCTGCACATTTCTGTTAGGGCTCATATCTAGGGCTTTTTGTTCATGTTTGGTTGTTTTAATGTTTGTTTGGTGTTGCTGTGAATTTTCAGTTTTCACATGACATTTGAGAATATGCAGAATGATGATGTCCTTGTGCACTGTTTTGCCATTGTGCAACCTTGCTTAACTAATTATTTCTAGCTCATTTTTTTCACAGAATCTTAGGGATTTCCCACCTAATAATGTTCTCTGCAAATCACTCTATTTCTTCCTCCTGATCTCAGTAGCATATTCGCTACTTTTGTGTGGTTAGGGCATAAGCGAGGGTTTCCCACATGAGGAATGAAAGCCATCCTTGCCTGGTCCTTCAGACCAGAGCAGAAACGTTGAGTTTTTCCTTGTTACGTACAAACGTTGCTTGTCGTTGCTGTGGAGAGACAGGCTGGTTGTGATTGCCAGGGCCTTGCATGCTAGGCACACTCCCCACCATTAGGCTGTATCCTCAGACACAGAAAATGTCCCTCTGTTCCCAGTGTTCTGAGGTTTCGTCATTATGAATTTTGTCAAATGCCTTTTTTATATCAAATGATAGGATCGTGTGATGTTTCTTCTATATCTTATTGATATAATGTATTACATTGACAAGAATTTGGAATATTGAGCCAGGCATAGTGTGTACGCCTATAATCATCAGCAACTCAGGAAGCTAAGGCACAAGGATCAAAAGTAAGAGTTTGAATATTGAACCAGCCTGCATTCTCAGAATAAACCACTGTTTGTGGAGTATAATTCTTTTATATATGTATTTTTAGTTGCTGATGAACCTTTTATTTATTCACTTATTTTTATGTGGTGCTGAGAATGAAACCCAGCATCTCACATATGCTAGGCAAGCACTCTACCACTGAGCCACAACCCCAGCCCTATAATTCTTTTTATATGTCATATGACATCATTCCATTTTTTTGTAATTTGGTGAGGAAGTTTTTCTCTATTTTTTCATGTCCCTCTTCTAATTTTTTGAGTGATAATGACATATATATGTATGTGTGTGTGTGTGTGTGTGTGTATTACTCCCCCACCCCCACAGTACTGGGGGTTGAACCCAGGGACACTCTGTTACTTAGCTAATCCTTGTTTTTTGTATTATTTTGGTTTTGTAAAGACAGGGTCTGGCCAAGTTGCCCTGGCTGGCCTTGAACTTGGGATCATCCTGCCTCAGCCTCCTGAATAGCTGGGATAACAGTTGTGCGCCACTGTGCCTGGCTGGCGTGTACTGGACTGTATGTTTAATTAGTGTCATTTATTCTTGTGATGGTTGATAGCATTCTGTAGTAAACTGTTGTGCTAAGATTTCTTTTTTTTAGGCTTTTAGGTTACTTGTTTATTTTATTAGGTATAAAAGTACTCAAAGCACTTCATGGGAGATAAGTTTTGAATTTTTTTTTTTTTTTTTTTGGTGTGGTGCTGGTATCTGAACCTAGAGGCTTGCCCATGCTAGGCATGTGCTTTATCACTGAGCTATATCTGTTTCATGTAAGTTTTCTAATTTATTTCTCTTATTGTTGCAAGTATTTCCTTAATACCCTTTTGTTGACTGCAGGAATAGGTTGCCCTTGCTCTTAAGCCATCCTCCTGCTTGCGCTTCCCACAGGACGCTGGGATTACAGGTGGGACCACTGGGCCATCTTCTGTTCTCTTTTGATCTTCATCAGTCTTAGATAATCTATCATTTATCTTAGACACAGAGCACATGTGTCTTCTTGGTCCTTTCAAATTAATCAGCACTTTGGGTTGTTGATTTTTTTTTCTTTTTTCTGTTTCTGTTAATTCACTCGTTTCTGCTCTGATGTGCATTATTATATCTTTTCTTCTACTTGGTTTCCTTGTGTTGGCTCTTAGCAATTTTCTTATGTGGGAGTGATTATTGACTTGAGGCTTTTCAGTTTTCCAATGTGAGCAGTTAATTCTGTAAATTTCCCTCATAGAACTATTATTTCATTCAATACTGAAATTTCTTTTTTCATTTCTCTGTGTGTGTGTGTGTGTGTGTGTTGCTTATGGAGCCCAGACCCTCATGTGGGGCAAGTGTTATCCTACTGGGCCACACCCCCAGCCCCTCAATTCTGAACTTTCTTGATTCCTTTTGAGACTTAGTCTCTGATTCATAATTATTTAGAAGTATGCTGTTTAATTTCCTAGTATTTCACATATTTCCTGCTGTTACTGATTTCTGATTGTTTTACATTTGACCTGGGTTTTGTTGTTGTTGTTTGTTTGTTTTGTTTTGTTTTTATTTTTATGAACCAGCACATGGTCCATCCTGTTAGGTGTGCTGCCTGAGATGAGCCTGTGTTCTGCTTCCCTTGGCTAGAGTGTCTGTACATGTCTGCTTGTCCTGTTGATGATGGCATTCAGATATTCTGTGTCTTAGCTGATTTTCTGACTAGTATTTGTTTTTTGTTTTAAATCTTTGTCCAGTGTAGTTTTCTTTGTAAAACTTTATTGAGGATTTTAAGTCAGATATCCAATATAAGATAGCTTGAATTGTTTCAGCTTGTCTTTGTTTAAACCTCTGGTTGACTTTCACCTACTCTGGCCTTTCACAGGGCCCTGGATTTGACATTTTCCATCTTGACATCGCTTCCAGGACCTCCTTCCAAGACCTCCAGTCTTGCAGAGACTTTTGTGGAGTTCAGCTTCCAGGTCAGGCCCTCGAACCTCAGGGCTCCCACCCCTCTTTCCTGGCCTGGTGTGGCGTCTTGCCTCTCAGATGGCGGCTGCTCTTGTTGGAGTTGCTCACCGCTGCAGTGCTGGGAGGTCCCAGGCCCAGCTGGGGAGAAGACCCTCATTCCTCTGCTTTTCCTCTAGATTTACATCGTTGTCCCTCTCATATTTCACATGATCGAGTCTCAGAGAGGAGAACTTGTGTCGCATTTCTATCAGTTGCTGAGAGAGTCCTGTTGATTGATGTCTTGAACTGTAATTGGGGGATTGTGTATTCTGCATTAGATTTCTGTCCCTGGGTCAGAATGTGTGAGATGATCTGAAAGGAGGGAGGTTTCTCTGGCTCATGATCTTGAAGTCTCGGTCCATGGTTGCTTGGCTCTTGTTTGGGGCCTCTGGTGCGGGAATGCCTCACGGCAGAGAGCCTGTGGTAGAACAGAGCTGCTCACCCCGGCAGACAGCATGCAGAGGGAGGAGGGGTGCCCTGGGACCCCACGTCCCCTCTGTAGGTCCGCCTCCTTGGGGTCTGTCACTTTGCAGTGGCACTTGGGCCCGAGGAGGACAGGAAGACTTTTCCTCCCTTAAATTCTGTCAGGGTTTATATCACGTAGCTCAGTGCTCTGTGGCTGGGCACATATGTTGAAGACCGCTGTCATCATTTATTGACCCTTTACCACTGGGTAATGTCCTTTTATGCCACTGTGAGTTTTCTTGGCTGACTTCTGTTTAGTGTCTTTAATCTTGATTTAATCTGTTTTGTGTCATCATTACTGTATTTTTTTAATGTTTGTTTAGTTTACATTTTATTTGGATTTTTAGCCATGTCTGTCATTTGAAGTGAGCTTCTTATGAACAGTATACGCTTGCATCATGCTTTTTCATTTATTTTGGATATTTCTGACAATTTGTATATTTAGACAATTTAAAATGACTACTGATGTTAATGCTTTTATCTGCCATTTTAATTTGTTTGTGTTCCCTATTTATTGTCCTTTCTTTTTTATTGTTTTTCTTGGTGGAGGGTGGGTTCTCTTTTCTTGTAGGTTAGTGTGTTTTTTTTAGGCGATGTAAGGTATCTGAAGGTGTGTATTTAATTTGCCACAATTTCATGGTATTCGCAGTTTACATTCTGTATAGCCCCTGTCGTTGCCTGTTAGGTTTTCTTTGTTTCTCTTCGGATGCTCTGCGCCATATTGGGAGATGTGCTTTCTGACTTGGCGGTCAGACGTGCCCGACAGGCGTGAGAGTGTTCCTGCCCCCGATACCCAGGCTGTTGGTTTTTCTCCAGATCCCAGGTGGTCTTCCCTTCTGTTTGGTGAGTGTCCTGGGCTTTTTTTCTGGGGTAGTTCTGCTAGTGACCGCTAGTTTTCTTCGTGTTCTTCTGTTTCTGAGGGACGTTTTTGTGAGAGAGAGGATCTGGGCTCCACAGGCCTGGCCCTGGGTAAGCCTCTCCGTTCCACTGTCCACTTTGGTTTTTTCCTTTCTTTTTTCTCTTCTGATTGTTCACTTCAGCTTCAGATAAGGAGTCCCCTTCCGTGTAGACCATTATTTTATTGCAGGTTGTCATTTCTGTCAAGCTGGGTTCAAACGTTGTTCCTTGTCTGTGGGGTTCGGAAGTTTGATCGCGTGTGTGATGTGGAATGTTTGGAGTTGCTTTGTGGCTTGTGATTAGTACCGCTGGTCACCAGAGCTCCTGACCAGATACCACTGCAGTTCTGAGGTAGTCCTGTAGTGAAAGATGACCAGGACCAGAGTGGGACGTTGTCAAGTTCATCTCCCAAATAGGAATCTGGTTGTCCAACATTGATTCCCAGATCCAGCATCTAAATGTCTTAGCAGAGATGGGACAGCAGTGGAAAGAAATGACCTAAAGGAACTCTGGGAGAAAGAAAAAAACTATTGTAGATGTTAGTTTGAAAAACCATGGATGACCCAGAATTCCATAATAGGGCTTATATCAGGTGAAGGGTAGGAGGCAAGGGAGATGTCGTATTTGCTTGGAGCAAAGACTAAGAGTAACATGATAGGGTTAGGACAGGACAGGATGGAAGTTGGCTACGCAGACAGACTTTCTATACAGGCACCCATCTATACAGGACTGTTGGCCGCGGTACTCATGCAGTAGAGAAAAGGGACTCTGCCCACCCACAAGGTTGTGCTCCAGGGAGGCAACTCTTCAGGGATCCTCAGGGGTCCTAGGGCCACACAGGAGTATGGATACACAGGAGATGGAAGTGTGTCACGAGCCAGTGCGTCCCAGCTGGGGTCCTTTAGGATTGAGTCCTTCAAAGAGCAACTGGAAGTACAGACTCTAGCTAAAGAACGTGGGTAAGTTCAGCATAGTGGTGCCTGCCTGTAATCCCAGTGGCTCAGGAGGCTCAGTCAGGAGGATCGTAAGTTCAAAGCCAGCCTCAGCAACTTGGTGAGACCCTGTCTTTAAATAAAATATAAAATAAAAAAGGGCTTTGGATGTGGCTCAGTGGTTAAGCACCTCTGGGTTCCATCCTCAGTACAAAAAAGAGACATGGATAAATGTCATGAAATTAATCAAATTATACTTTTATGGACGTTCAAGTAGGCCACAGTGATGACCACCGATCTCTAAAATGTGCTAATTTAGAGAAGAGAACACCTGTGAGAAGTGAAGGTGTGAACCTGCAGCTGGTGGGCCTCAGAATGAGGACTTCTGTGCCTGGAAACCCTCAGCTCCCTTCGACCACTCTTCCAAGTAAAATCTTAATGTCATTTAAGCCCTTTATGAGGCACTTGTCGTCCCTTCATCCAGGTCGTGGTCCTCCAGCTGTGTTGTGGAACACTGAGTGTTCGAGGGGTCCATGAGATGGAGGGGTAAACACTTTCACCCACCCCAAACAACGCTGCCCTGGGGGAGAGTTTAGAAATAAGAAATCAGTGGACGCACCAAGAAAGCACCCTGCGTGCAGGTCGTCCTGTGGTGCGGTCTGAACTCGGAACCTCATGGTGATTTCAAGCTGGAGGAAACAAGGCTTGATCCAAGCCCACCCTTCTGAGGACCTCCACAGGCTGCTGCAGAAGGGGTGCTGGCCGCTGTGTCGTGAAGAGCCCCAGGGCATGCTCCCATTGGGTCAGACTGTCTCGGTGTCTGTTCTCTCTGCTGGAAGGCTCATTCCCAGAGCTGGGCTTGCCAGGTTGGTTCTGAGGTCCCAGATCTGGGGAGATCAGGGAGGTGGTCTTTGAGGACCCGCCAGCCCTTTCTGTCACTGTGCCACAGTCTTTGGAAGAAGCTGCTGTCGTTCCATGTGTTGTGGTCACTCACTTTGATCCAACTGTCTTCTTGCTTGACCAAGGCAAAAGTCTTAGGGAAAATCGGGTCCTCTGGGTCAGGCTCACCTCCAGTTTCTGTTCCTGGCCTGCGGTGCTGGCCAGCCGCCTGGTAACTGGGTGCTTTCCCCACAGTCCAGTGAGCTCAGCTCTGCGGCCTCATCCAAGGTCTGGGCTGCCCTGTCGGCCCTCGGAACGTGACGTTTCCTTCACCTTCTTTCTCTCACAGGCTTGGCCCCTGTAGCGGTCTGTGGCCTACTTGTCCCCATGCCCTCACGCTCCCTTCACTCTGGGCACCTTCACCTGACTTGAGGCTCCCAAGTGCTCTTTGTCCCCTTCTCTGTTGCGTCTTTGCAGTGCTGGCCCCGCCTGGGCCTCGGTCCTCTCCTGCCTCAGTGTCTTCCCTTGCGCTCCAGGGCTCTGCAGCCTGCCTGGGCCCTGTTTCCAGGTGGGCTGGTCGTGCCTGCGTGCCTCTTGTGGGCCGAGTGCTGTGCGCACCTCAGCTCTTGCCTCTCGACCACCACTCTGGCACGTTTCCTGGCCAGGACCATTAGGCACAGAGAGTGGAGGTGGCCAGGGCTACACAGACAGGCAGCTGGAGTCTGGGGACTGGAGGCCACTTAATGTGCTGCAGGCTCCCAGCCCTGCCCGTTTCCTGGGTCTCCACTCGTGGGGAGGGTCTTTGTTCTTCTAGTCACTGTTCTGTAGGGGGTTTGGGTGGTTTTTTGTTTTTTGTTTTCCTGGCAGAAGGGATTAAACCCAAGGGTGGTGATTAAACACTGCCACATCCTCAGTCTGCCCCCCCCCCTCCTTTTTTTTAATATAGAGACAGGTCTCACTGAGTTGCTGAGGGCCTTGCTAAGGTGCTGAGGCTGGCTTTGAACTCGAGATCCTCCTGCCTCAGTTTCCTGAGCTGCTGGGGTGACAGGCGTGGCCACTGTGCCATTTCTGTCTTTAACATGCCACTCACTCATCTGGAGCCGGCTGTTCCTGTTTGATGGTGTATTTGGGCCATCTCTTCAGGTTGGGTGAGGTCAACCAGATTCGGTCTTTGTGGTGGCATTGTCTGTCATAAGTGGAAATAGAGGTGTGGGAGGGAGGGGGTCGAGAAGCCATGACGGGTCCAGACCAGGTGTGCTGTTTGGAGTGAAGACCTCTCTGAGCTCCCAGCTTCAGCCCCATTGCCACACCGGGCGCACTGCGCCCCTCCCCTCCCTCAGTGTCCCACATCCTGCCCCTGCCCCTGCCGTTCAGGTATGTTTGGTGCCGGCCACATGCACAGCAGCTTGTGTTTAGGAATTTTGTCCTTCAAAGTGTCACCATGTGTGACAGGTTGACCTTGAGGCATACCAGCAGGGACAGGAAGTACACAGTTGTAGAGGTCGTGATGAATGACAGTGGGAGTACTGGAAGATCACCTCTAGGTTTATTGATCTTGGAAAGACCCAGGACTCAGGATTCTGTCACACTCGCAGCTGTGACTTTTATCACAGCCAGAGGAGACATAGCAAACCCCACAGAGCAAAGAGCCTCCCGGGGCAATGTCCAGAGAGCCAGAGTGTCCTTCTCGTCCTGCCTCAGTGGGGTCACAGATGGGCCTTGTTGGCATGTCACCTGGGACTGGGCTAGCATGTGAGAAATGTCTCCTGGGAAGCCTGTTGGGAAACCCCTGCCAGGGTGAGTGTTGGGCACACTGTCCTCTGTCCAGCACATACCAGACTCTGGACCTCCCGAAGGGTTCTGGTGTTCATTGTGAGTCCCATGTTTCCACAAAAGACCTGGCCACACAAAGCTGCCTTCTCTGGAGCTGTGGGAAGCCTCCCAACATCTCAGTCCCAAGCTGCCACCAAGGCTCACCCTGTGAGCTGCAGGGTGGTGGTCTCTGGCCCCACTGTGACTTCTCCTCACAGAGACCCAAGTGATACTAAAGCACTGTGTATGTTCGGGTGTCTGTCACTTTAAGCAAGTACTGTTTCCTTCAGTGAAAAATGAAGATCTTAATTTCGAGATGAAGACGCATATAACTGTTGTAATAAAAAATCCAAGCCACAGTGGAACTTGTTACAAACCACCGGGACAGGATTTAGTTTAGTTACAAGGTACAGAGGACACTGCTGAGAGAAGGACTTGGTGCTGGTACACGTGTGTACCTGTATGTGTGTGCCCAGTGTGTGTGTACCTACTGTGTGCATGTGTGTGATACACACGAATGGCTGCGAATGGTCTGACCTGAATTCTCCCTCCACTTGCCTTTGTCTGTGAAGACAGAGTGGCCAGGGGGCGAGGTGTATTTCCATGGTTTATACTGAAACTCCCTTTACTGCTGCTATCTGAAGCCTTGGCTTCAGCGGAGAACTAAGGAATATGACACTCATAACAGTTCCTGCATCATTAAATGCAGATAACTTTAAAGGACATTATTGCAGACACTCGTGGGTCTGTTGGTTTTATGTCTGAGAGGGAGTCATTGACCCCAGCTGAGAGGCCCTCTGCAGACACTTGCTGGAAGCATCTGAGGATGGCTGTCCTGCCTCAGCTGTGGGAAGCTAGTGCCTCCTGCAAGGTCTAGTGATGATGTCACTGTGTTCTGGGGGCTAAGGATTTTCAGTCTTGGCTGGGGTGTAGCTCACTAGCACACACAAGGCCCTGGGTCCACCCCTAGCAGCAGCTCCCACACACAGGGTGTTGGACATCTTAACAGTGGCATGGTCTCAGCTAGGTCAAGTGGGCAGCTTGTCTTGCCTGCTTGGAGCAGAGGATTGTCGTGCAGGGAGGATCCAGTAGTCAGACTGTGGGTATTTCCTGTCACTGCTCTTACCTGTAGGGTGGCTACGGAAGTTCCTGGCCAAGGTAGGAAGAGACTTCACATAAAGAAATCCTATCTCCTTGTGTTTCTTGGGCTGTGGGCAGGATTCCATCCTGCTGACCACTCCCTCCATTCTTGACATAACTCTTTCCTTGGTTCTGTGCATCCTTCTCCTAGGTCACTCCGTCTTTTCCCTGCTGGCTCATCCATGGCTGGCCACCTATGTCATGCTGGAATTTCTAAGTCCCTGGTCTGCTTTGCCTACCAACACCTAGCTTTATCTCCCCAATCCTGACCTTGTATGGTGCTCTAGACCCGTACACCAATGCCTGCTGTCAGCCAGTGGGCTGTCCACGAGACTTAATTAAGGTCAGTAAATGGTTCCCACTTGAGCTGTGCCCTGCACCTGAGGTCCCAGCTACTCAGGAGGCTGAGGCAGGGGGATCTTTTGAGCACAGGTGTTGGCAACATAGTGAGACCCCATCTCAATGAATAAGTGAGGGCTGGGGTGTAGTTCAGCAGCACAGGGCATTGGAGGCCCTGGGTTCCATCCTCAGCACCACCCACACTCACACACAAACACCTGACCCTCTGCATTAGAATCCCTGCCACTGGGCTGGGGATGTGGCCCAAGCAGTATCGCGCTCGCCTGGCATGCGTGCGGCCCGGGTTCGATCCTCAGCACCACATTCAAACAAAGATGTTGTGTCCGCTGAAAACTAAAAGATAAATTAAAAAAAAAAAAAAAAAAAAAAGGATCCCTGCCACTTGAATTCTGTCTCTGCAACTGTGAGACTAATTTTTTTTTTCCTGTACTAGGGATTGAACCCAGGAGCACTTTACCATGGAGCTACATCCCCAGCCCTTTTTATATTTTATTTGAAGACAAGAGTCTCTAAAAGTTGCTGAGGGTCTTGTTAAATCCTCCTTCCGCAGCCTCCAGAGTAACTGTGAATCTTGTTAGAAACCTCCTACCAGTTTTGCAACCCAGAGAGTCTTCCATCTCTGGCACATAAACATGGAGGTAGACAGCACCCCATCTCCCAGGTTCTGTGGGAGGGAAGGAGCCTGACTTCCCTGGGTACCTTGATCCAAGTTGCAAACTACCTACTATTGTAAACAAAGAAGTTTCTTTTCCCCTCTGAAGCCAAATTAACTCAAGAGTCACAAGGTAAGTTAGGATGAACTGTGTGGCAACTCCTGACATGTCCCCTCACTTGAAGACCATTATGTATTTCGAAAACAGCATATAATGGTCTGCTTGGGCATATGAAGGGTGAGGTTTTACTCTGTCTTTGCAGTGTCTTACTGTATAGCCGGTGATGTGAATCACATTCTGATCTAGTGTTGTTCAATAATACAACTTTTCTTAAATTGGGTAGGTGGGATGACACCCGTAATCCCAGCTAATCTGGAAGTCCAGGCAGGAAGATCACAAGATTAAGGCTGGCCGCAGCAATTCAGCAAGCCCAAGTCTGAGAAAGGGCCGGGCATGTAGTTGAGTGGTAAGAGAGCTTGCCCAGCAGCGCGGGGCCGGGTTCAACCTGCAGCACCAAACAGCAATATGCCACCCGGCCCGCGCCACCCAAACCACGCGAGAGCTTCATTTCTCTACGACATTTGTTTTCTTGGTAGAGAGCGAGCGGTTTTACCCATCTTTCCCCAACACGAGTGACACACCCTCACTCGCAGGCTCTGTCTATTGGTTACGGAGATTTTTTTTTTTCAAGTATAAACGACATATCCCATTTCCCGCCTAAAAATATTCAATTTCGAATGTTCTTGGAAGCCTCCATACTTGCCAAATATGTTCTGCTTTTCCTACATTTGAGACCAAAATTGCAAACGTTACAGGGTTCGCAAAGACACCGAGACCAGGACCTGGCGGCCTGATACTTGCACCCCCAGGGTGACTGCCTCAGACCCGCACGTGCGCTTGAGCCTGCCCTGCCTCAGCCTCACCCTGGCCCCGCCCCTGCTTAGCCCGCCTGTTCCGCCTCATTGGCCCATGCTCTGATAGACACGCCCAACTCCTGTCTTCATTGGGCACGCTGCCGATGGCGTCAGAGATTTCGACCAGTGGGAATGAGGAACCTTATCGGCCCGCCCTGGAGTCTGGGGACGGCTATAAAAGGCCTACTGCCCAGCTGGTCAGGACTTCCCGCCACTTACCTCTTGCTTACTTTCGTGTTTCCTCGTGGCCGCTTTTCACAACCGTATGCACCCCGGCCGCCAACTCCAAAGGGCTCAGGAGGGCCCTGGCTCCCCCTCATCCGTATCAGCATCCACCCGGAGGCGGTGAGGGGGGAGCAGCGGAACCTGTGGGCAGGGGCCCAAGGGCCAGCCCCTGGAGGGCTGGGTGCGCTGAAGAAAGAGTTTGACACCCCTCTCTTTCCCTGCCCCCGTGCCCTCCCTCCCTCCCCATCTCCCCCCCTCCCTCCCCATCTCCCCCCCTCCCTCCCCATCTCCCCCCCTCCCCATCTCCCCTCCCAGGAGCTGCAGTGGGCCAGACGCAACCCGGAACCCCCGCCGTGTGAGTGCTTAGCCTTGGCGTCTGGAAGGGGAATGGAGGGGCTTCCGAGGGCGCCAAGCTCGGCCTGGGCGAGTGGAGTGGAGGGTCGGCGCCTGGACGTGCGCTGCTGGTTTCCAAGCAAACACCCCTGGCTGGGCCCTCAAGACCGGGAAGAGGACCTCGGGCCCCTTACTCCCCTCCACCTGCAGAACTGGGGCTCCTTTCTTCCTGTCCACTTAGGAAGCCCTTCACAATCTATGACCTTGAAATCGGGCGTCCTCTGGGCAAGGGCAGATTTGGGAACGTCTGCCTGGCTCGACTGAAGGAGAACCATTTCATCGTGGCCCTGAAGGTCCTCTTCAAGTCCCAGATCGAGAAGGCGGGACTGGAGCACCAGCTGCGCAGGGAAGTCGAGATCCAGGCGCACCTGCGGTAAGGACAGGCTCTGCCTGCGCCTCTCACGCTGGCTCTCTACACCTGTTTCCCCTTCCTGCTGCACATCCCAACCCGGCCTTTCCCACTGCCCCCAAGTAAGCCCTTGGCCTTGATTTTTCTGTGCTGCTCATTCCAGTTCAACCATATAAAGTTTCCTCCCTGGGTGGACATCCCGATCCTGACTACCGTCCCTGAGCCCAGCACAGTTTGCCCCTTGTGTGACCAGTCACTGGTGATAGCAGCAGTTTTGGGCTCAGGGAGAAGTTTGACCCACCCTCTGTCCCTCCTGCAGACACCCGAACATCCTACGCCTCTACAACTATTTCTATGACTCTCGCCGGATATACCTGATTCTGGAGTTTGCTCCCAGGGGTGAGCTCTACCACTTGCTGCAGAGAAGGGGCCCCTTGGATGAGCAGCGCACAGCCACGGTGAGGGGGCCTGGGCTCTGGGGGCCTTGGGCTCACTGCCGGCCTGTGGTGGGGCGTGGGGGCTCTGTGGCTGGTCAGATTGCCGTTTAAGTTGATTTCTGAATTTTATTCTGAGAATTTTAGATAGTGAATAATCCTCACATTTTGATACTTTAATTACCCTATGTGTATCCAGAATATTATGTTGCGTTGAGTCTCTGAACATCTAACTCCATCTTGTACAAATATAAGGAGCCAAAAACACTTATTGAAAGGCTATGAGGGATTTACTAAATAAATGTATGGAACTCATAACTAGAAGTTTTTTTGTTTTTGTTTTTGTATTGGGAGAGGGGGAATGGATTCTGAGAATTGAACTCAGGGGCACTCAACCACTGAGCCACATCCCCAGCGCTGTTTTGTATTTCATTTAGACACAGGGTCTCACTGAGTTGCTTAGTGCCTCACCATTGCTGAGGCTGGCTTTGAACTCATTCTCTACCTGCCTCAGCCCCCAGAGCCTCTGGGATTACAGGCATGCACCACTGTGCCCAGCAGTAACGGGAGATTTCTAGAGGGCACCAGGACAGGACCCACAGCCATGGCCATGCCAACAGTGGTGGCTGGGCCGCTTGCTGTCAGGATGAATGAGTCTTTGTTGCCTCCTGATCCTCCTATTCCCTTGGTCAGGACTCAAGTGTTTTGGGAGATGGTGATTGGCTCAGTGGAGGTTCTGTCTGGCTACTTGCTGTGGGAGGGCAATAGGACCTGTCCAGTTCAACATCCGTCCTTTCCCCTTCCCAAACTGGACCTCTGGTGCCACTAAAAGGTGGTATTGGGGTGAGTTGCCAAGAGCAAGATTCCTCTGCACTCCCAAGGTTCACGAGGAGCATTCTGTCTGATGGGAAGTGTGGAAGGCTTGCCTTTCAGATGCCTTCACTTTGTTCACAGATAATGGAGGAGTTGGCAGACGCCCTGACATACTGCCACAACAAGAAGGTGATTCACAGGGACATTAAGCCAGAGAATCTGCTGCTGGGGCTGATGGGTGAGGTGAAGATTGCAGACTTTGGCTGGTCTGTGCACGCCCCCTCCCTCAGGTAGGTCAGATCGCGGTTGGGTGGGCCCCGAGGTTGGGTGGGCCCCGGGTGCCAGTGAAGAGTGGTCCAGTTGAATTCATTGCAAATGTAAGACCCAGATACAAACCTGGGTTTGTACCTGAACACTGCCATTTTAAAGTAGAAAAATGGTCCAATATTTCCTGGGCTGGAGATGTAGCTGGGTGGTAGAGGGTCTCTGGGTTCAATCCCCAGTACTGCAACTTAATGACTTATTGTGGCCCAACTGGAACTTTTATTTTCTGATCTTTGTTAATGTATGACTTTAGCAATAAGATTTCATGTAAATACCTAATAACTTATGGACCATTGCCCATACTTCCAGCAGTGCATTGTTCTGTATGAATAGATTAGAATCCATTCACTGGGTCCTTAATGTACCATCACTCTGTTTCTTGATGCTGAGAATATTTTTGTGAAAGCGTTCTGGATCATGAGCTAAATGATTGCATGAATTTCAACACACATTGTTATGGTCCCGGTCCTTCTTTCTCTGTACCTTGGTCCATGTTAAACATTGGTGTCTTCAAACCCCGGTGCTTGGGCAGGGACTTCCAGGATTTCTCTGATCTGGGCCTCTGCTCAGTGCTCCCCTCTCCCTCCACCAGGAGACAGACTATGTGTGGGACTCTGGACTACTTGCCCCCAGAAATAGTGGAAGGCAGGACCTACAATGAGAAGGTGGACCTGTGGTGCCTCGGGGTGCTCTGCTACGAGCTGCTGGTGGGACGGCCACCCTTTGAGAGCCCCTCTCAGAGCGAGACCCAGAGGCGCATCCTCAAGGTGGGATGGCCACACAGCGGGCATATACGGGGAGCTGGGTGGGGGCAGCTGCTGAGCCTGGGGGGACTGGGGCACACACATGAGGTCACCTGCTACGGTCCCGAGGAGTGCCTCAAAGAGGCACAGAGAACATGGAGCAAAGAAATGAACCAGACTTCCCTTGTTTCTCCTTGGCCTCATCAGGTGGATGTGACGTTTCCCCCCTCCATGCCCGAGGGGGCCCAGGACTTTGTCTCCAAGCTTCTGAGATACCAGCCCTCAGAGCGGCTTCCCCTGGCTCAGGTCCTGGAGCACCCCTGGGTGAAGGCGCACTCATGGGGGGTGTTGCCTCCCGGTGCTCAGAAGGCTTCCTGAGCCCATCTACCTCTGTCCTTCCTGTGCACCCAGGGAAGGCTTCCTCGTTTGTCTTTTTAAATATAGGATGCTAATTAATAAAGACTTGAGTCATTTACTACAAGGGCTATTTGGTTGTGTGCGATGATGCACAACTGGGCAGAGTCTTTATTTTTTTGGAATCAGGAAAACTGCCCGAGATGGGGCCCTCTTGGCCTTGGAGATGGTGGCAGGGTTCTCCTTGAGCTCTGGTGGATAACTTCTGATAAAGGCCCTGGAGGTTCCCAACCTGCTGCCTATCAGTGGTTCCTCCTCTCAACTATTCCCCATGTTTTCAGGACATTTGTAACAGGGACCATCATCACACCAAAGCTTCACCCTCTGGAGGCACCTGGTGTGCTGCCATTTTTGAAGTAAAAGTAGTTCACTGCATTCCAGGGCCACAGGATTCCCAAATGCACCCACAGGCACTCCGTCCTGCATCATCTCTTTTTTTTTTTTTAGAGAGAGAGGGAGAAGGAAAGGGAGAGAGAGAGAATTTTTTAATATTTTTTTTTTTTTAGTTTTCGGCGGGCACAACATCTTTGTTTGTATGTGGTGCTGAGGATTGAACCCGGGCCCCAGCCCCCTGTCCTGCATCATCTCTAGTAGCAAACACAGCTTCTCTTCTGAGGTCTGTCACTGTGCCTGCAGCAATCTCAGTGTCCCCTTCCAGACTTGTCCACAGTCCCACGTGGCAGCCTCTGTGCCTCTGTGAGAAGCTGACCACACCTGAGTCCACCTCCAGACCCAGCTGTGAGGTCCAGGGTGTTTCCTGTACAGTGCAGCCATCACTTCCGCCAGCGGTCCTTGTGACAGTTTGCCTTGAGCAGGGTCTCCCCTGTGGCCGTGTCCAGCCAACGTAGGATGATTCCTGGTATGACGGGAAGTACCAGTGTCAATCATGCAGATGATAGAGAAGAAAAGCCGGCTGGGGGCTGTAGCTCGGTGGTAGGATGCTTGTCCACCGTGCAGGAGGCCCTGGGTTCCAAGCCACCCCTGCAATCAGGAGTAAAGGCCACAGTCAAGGGCCAGGCACAGTGGAGCACGTCTGTAATCCCAGCAGCTCAGGAGGCTGAGACGGGAGGATCACGGGTTCAAAGCCAGCCTCAGCAAGGGTGAGGTGCTAAGCAACTCAGTGAGACCCTGTCTCTAAATAACATACAAGATGGGGCTGGGGATGCAGCTCAGTGGCTGAGTGCCCCTGGGGTTGAACTCTCTGGTACCAGAAAGCAGTCAGGTCCTCCTGGCCCTCTGCCTCAGGTGAGCAGCTCCCCCTGAGTCCTCAGCAGCAGCTCCGGGACGCTGGCTTACAGTCTGCATCCTCAGAGCTTGCACCTCTGCTTTCCAGCCTAATCCTATCCGTTTTCTTGAGTTTATGTTTCGATTCAACACTTGGTGATTTTTTGAAAAGGAGCTGGCTGGCTGTATGGACCCTGCAGTTTCCACATCCGAAGAGAATGGACTCATCACTGCTTTGGGCAGGCTTATAAAGAAAGCAAAATCACTAGGGCCTCAACCCTGGCCACCAGATGCTGGTACCTTGGTTTACCTTTTTAAAAGGGCCCCCGAAAACATGAGAAGAGCGAGGGTATGCTTTGGCTTACCGTTCTGGAGGCTTCCATCCATGGTTGGCCCCACTGCTTGTGGGTCAGGGAAAGGACAGGGTGTGAGAGAGGAAGGGATCTTGCTCCCTCCGATCCCCTTTAGGGGCACACCCCCAATGGCTGGAAGGCTTCCCACCTCCTCCCAACAGGATGGAGCCAGGAGAAAGCCTTCAACACTTGGGTCTCTTGGGAGCCTTCTAGACATGAACCGGGCCACACAGGTCCATACTTAGACCAGGTTACACTGGGGGTTTAAAGTGCACCCAGTGTCTACACAGCTTTCCTCATTCACCGATTCCACTCTGGCCTCCCATGAAGCATGGAATGTAAACATGTTTTCTTTTAATTTTTTAAATTTCTGGCATCAGGGATTGAATCCAGGGGTGGTTAGACACTGGGCCACATCCTCAGTGCCCCCTGCCTTTTTTTTAATTTACAGACAGGGTCTCAGTGAATTTCTTAGGGCATCACTAAGATGAGATGCTGACACTGGCCAGGAACTTGGGATCCTCCTGCCTCGGCCGCCCCCATCACCACCCTCAATTCAAAATGTTCAATGTCATGAGAGCCTTTTCAGCACAGTTTCCATTTTCATAACCGCGCATATCTTCAACTCATGAAAAGTTGGCTTGTGCCTAGTGTGAGCCAGGACTTCAGTTCTGTCACCTGCACCGCAAGGGAGAAGCCCCAAAGCAGTTTACTCTCGGGTTCATGATAAGGAGAAGAAAAAGGCCACTGTCGCAGGCTACTCTCGTTAGGGGAGGACATGAGTGGGGGAACGTGAGGTTAAGGGAATGAACCTATAGAAGGGGGGCTGGGGTAGTGGCTCAGTGGTAGAGCACTCCCCTAGCATGTTTGGGGCCCTGGTTTCGATCCCACCACATAAAACAAAGGTATTGTGTCCAACTACAACTAAAACATAAATTTTAAAAAATCTATAAAAGGGGCCCACTGTGCTGACCCCCACGGTTTTATTTCCAAAAAGCATTTACCTGCAGCCCTGACTGGCTGAAGAGGGCAGAATGTGTCCCAGTCCTCAGCAAACTACCTGTTATTTGCAGGAGAAATGAAAGTCCAAAATAAAGTCGCTAAGAGGAAACCAAGTTTCTCTGACAGGAGAGACTGTGACCCTTTTCATGCACCAGATCCTGAAAGTCACGGATAAGGATAAGATAACCATTAAATCTAAGAATACATCATTAAGAATTCAATTAGAACCAGTGACCATGGGCCAACGTGCCCTGAGTGGCCCTGCAGTGCAGACCTGAGAGAGACATCATCCTGCTGTCAGCTGACACTCAAGAGGAAGAGTTGAGTGGACTCTGGAAATTTCCCCTATAAACCCAGAGGGCAGGAGGAGGCACACTGTCCCTCTCCTCTCTGAGAAGACCCACCCTCTCCCTTGAGAGTGTCCCTTTTCCTTCAATAAACTCATTGCCTGTTGGAAGCAGATGAAAGAGAAGACAAACGAGAAACGCAGGTGGACCTCAGTGGGTCAGCCATGCTTTATTAAACAGCCAGGGGCAGGTTTTCAAGAGGGAAAATGGCAACTGGCTGCAGTAGGTTTTATAGGGCTGACAGGGACTGAGTGCTGGCAGGAAACGTGTTGGTTACAGCTGAGGGAGACCTTGGGCAGTCAGGGCTGTGGTCACAGGTGATAAGAAGAACTGCCACAGGTTCAGAGCCCACCACGCTCCCTTTCTCCTCGGGGGTTAATATTTTCCATATCCTTCACCTGTTACTCTGAGCAACATGCCTGAAATCTTCCTGACTTCCTTACAAGGACTGGGGTTTGACGGAGCAGGTCTTCATGCTGCCCAGTTTCCTGGAAGGCCCAGCTCTGTAACTCTGACTTTGCATAATGCATTTCTGAACGGAGCGTCACAATTTCCAACACAATGTTGTTGGTTTACTGTCTGCAACCATTTGATGTGTGGTGGTTCAGGGCTCACTCTTCCCATTGTTTCTTCTTTGTCTATATTTTTTTATGGTGGTGCTGGGGATTGAGCCCACGGCCTTGCGTATACAAGTGCCCTACACCTGAACTACATCACCAGCCCTGCTCATTTTATTTCCTCGTGGTCTTACCTGGGATCATGATTTGAAATAGCAACTTCACATGTCCCAGCAGGATCCCTCTCCCAATAAACCAGGGTTGAATTGTCTGTGACCCAGACACTTTGTGGTCCTGGGGACATTTCAAACAGACAACAGTTGGAGTCCTGAGCTTTTCAAGTCCCCCCCCCCATGGCAAAACCCTCTATGGTGCTCTGGGCCCACACACTAGGCCTCATTTGAGGGGGACACATTCCAAAACCCTTATGGTTGACTGAAACCAGACTTGTCCTGAGCCTTATAGATACACGCATCTATAAGGTAAGTGACACCTTGACACTTCAAGGAGACACTTCAAGGCTTCTGTCTCTGGATGGCCAGCATGACCTTTGCTGTGAGAGTTTGCTTTGGCTGACCGTCTGGAGGTTCCCATCCGTGGTTGGCCGCACTGCTTGTGGGTCAGGGCAAGGCCAGGGTGTGAGAGAGGAAGGGGTCCTGCCCCCTCCTATCCCCTTTAGGGGCACACCCCCAATGACTGGAAGGACTCTTAGCCCTCGACTTCCTCCTCCCCACTTCCTGCCCTAGCCTCTGGCTCATAACTTTCAAATTCGTTTTTCATTAAATACACAAAGGCAGCCCAGGGAGCCCTACACGCTGCTTCACCTGCTGTCCATCATTGAGGACGCATGGGGAGGAGACGCTGCAGCTCTGGCCTTCCGGAGGCCGCCTCCCTGGGGTGGGGGGACCAGAGACCCTGACAGCACCTGCTGCTGTGCCCGAAACCTCAGAGCTGCCCAGAGGTGGGAGACGGTGCTGGGCATGAAGTGATGTAGACACGCTGCCCCTGTGTCCTGGGGCCTGTCCTTTCTCTGCCCTGGCTGAGATCCTGCAGACGCTGGCCTGGCTTGGCCGGAGAGGACAGGGAAAGGTGGTGAGTGAAGAATACGCAAAATAACAATCCGCATCCCCCAGGAGAAAGGAGGGCAGTGTGACTGGGGCGAGGGTGGGAGGGGCAAGCAACGCCCTGGGCTCGGCTTTCACCCTTTCCCAGCAACAATGGGTTTCGAACTTTCGCAGCTGGTTCCCGGATTTATTTAGGCTTTGAACTCACAACTGCTCCCCCTGACTGCCCAGCCAGTGAACCCTGCAAATGGTTCAAATCTCACTCAAACACTATAAAAATCAGAGCCCTCCTCTAATCAGTCACCATTTTCTTTCCTGAAAATGTGCCATTCCGCTGCTAAATAAAGAAAGCTTGCTGGTGCATTGAGGTCTGTTCCCCCTTTTGGTTATTTTTGCATTCAGTGAGCTAGACTAGGTCCAGGGCAGGGAACCTGTGGGGAGGAGCCCAGGTGGAGGAGGGAGAGGCCAGGGAAGGAAGGGAAGGAGGCCCTGGGTGGAAAGGGCACAAGACTGTCCAGGGCT